ATGATTAAGCAGAGCAGACTGTTTCCTCGACTGAAATTTTGTGAATGTATATGCGTGTCTCGTGAATTTGAACAACCTATTTGCTATGTGGTACGAAAGCGATTAATTGAAATTAGAATTGACTTCACGCAACTGTTGTTAACTGATGTATAACACGCGAAAAATGTTGGCGAATGACCACGACTTTCGTGGAGTTAATGATATGAGACTCGAGATATAGATACCATTCGTTCATAGGTGTAATTTATACGCACGTGGAAACTTAATATCACGGTCATGGTCAGGACTTTTCTTCTATCATTTATTAGTTTCATTTGTCGTTTCAGGAAATAGTGAATGAATATGTTTCCTCTTGAAGAGAAAATCTATGGGAAAAGGATCTAACAGTAAAGTAGAATTTGTCAGAATCTGTGCAGGAATCTTGAAGACAGAATCAGTATAAAGAAGGAAAAGGAGTTTATTTTTTTTCTTCTTTCATTCGTTTCATAGTTCGTTAGGGATAGATTGTAGAAAGAAAGAAAGAAAGAAAAAGAAGAAAAAGTAACAGTATCCCAAGCAACATGTGTTTCAAGAAAAGTAAGATCATCTAGGAAAACTTGTTGAGGAGCAAGTAGTTTACATAATAGGAGTCTATTGATTAACTCCGTTACTAGTGATTTTTCATTCAAACAATAAGAGCTCATGTTTAAGTAAGTGAATTTAACAGGCAAGAGTAAGTTACTCCATTAAGTAACACAACACTTTTTTTTACATTTTCTGAAAGTCTAGAACAGTAGAGAAAGCGTGGACATGAACAATTTTTTATGGACAATGCAATGATATACTTGTCCATGGAGAATTTATTTGTTATAATTATTATAGAAGTCTTTGCTTAAAGAATGCTCAATTAAAATCAAACAGATTAAAGGTTATTGTAGACTACATATAGACTTGATAAACTTGAGAATGTTAACATCAATCTTCATCTAAAATAATTCTTTTTAAATCCATCTTACTCTTCATTATCACAATTACTAGTTTTACTTCTTCGAATTAACAGAATTACATTGATAATATTTTCACATTTTTCAACAACTCATTTGTCACAAATCAACTTTTACTTTTACTCACATTTCTTGCACGAAAGTCTGTATTCTTTCATAATATTCATTTTCACCTACCACAAAACGGACGACGATGGATCGTTAGCCTCTGAAAAAAAATATAGTCATTCACTGATCCACGCAATTTCCAACGCGTAGCCACAAGGTATCTTCTGTCACGTTTTCTCGCAGTGTAACCACCTTCTAGGAGAAAGTAATTAAATGATTTACAACGTGGATCTCGATTTGGGTGTGGATACTCTACGCGTCTCGTTTGGCGATGGGTTCGTTGAACCTTAAGCAGGTGGCATCTTTTCGATGCTCGGCCAGAAGAAAGTTTTTTTCTCTTGACGCGTGACCTAATCCGAAAGGGAGATCAGCCTCCGATCGCCAACCTGGAAACTTATTGAACGATCGTTATGAAACGAATCGCAGATATACCTTTGATATAGCAAATTTTTAACAGTATTGGAAGATTTTTCAAAAGATTTTTATTCGTGCTACAACAGATTGTAAGTTCAATGGAAAATTTGTTGTTATGGAGACAATCAAAGATAATAAACGTTTACAAGTAATGATACATTATTGGACGATCTTTGTAACATTATAAGATTTTTATCTGCAATAAAATTATCGGGCTACAAATTTTCAATTTTAAAAGAAAACTATTGAATACATTTTTACGGTAACACACGTTTATGATGTATTGGCTTTAATAATATTCGACTTTCGTGATATAGAATATTTAGAAGAAAATTGTCGAAGATATTTTTATGATAAGGAACGTTTACAAAGATGTATTTGTTTTATAGGAAATTTTTTTTTTTAAAGATTCTTCTTTCTCAATAATATTCAGCGATAAAACGATTTAACATCAACCTTTTAAGCCTGCTTATAACAATATACTAACGCAATGATGTAGTACGTAAGACTAAAATTCACCAAAATTGGGAAAAGACTGATTACGTTAGGGAAAACACGTTAGGGAAAAAATATGATAGAGAAGAGAACTGTAAAAGAACTCT